TTTTGTTTTTCTTTACTTTTACACTATAAGAAAGCATTTATTTAAGTGATGGGAACCCCAATTATTTTGTTTTTTTCTTGAAGGTGACCTTTTAATTTATTTTTATTGTTACAAAATTCTATTACCGAACTCACTTGAGATTTTATTTTCTGCTCGACTTTTAATGTGTCTAGTATTTAAATGAGATTAAAAATAAAAAATATAATAAAATATTTAGAAGTTCAACCCTAGAAAACACCTCTCTTGCATGAGAGTTTATTTTCCGCTCAACCTTTGCCAATGTGTGGTAGAAATTAAAATTAAAATTTTGATTTAAGTCAAAATCAACAATAAATTTTAATCACATATTTTATGAGATTCACAATTTTTTAACCACATATTTCATCAATTTTTATCTTCATCAAATTGGGGCTTAAAGTTTTTAGAAGATGGGTTTTGATATACAAACAAGGCCGCGTCGGCCATGTTTGTGACACGGGTGGCCATCTTCGTTCCAGCTTTGTTGTTAGAAGATTAAGCCCCAGTTAGGTGGCTATTTTTTTAGGAAAAATATTATTTTAAATAGTGAAATTTTGAAAAATGCGTGGTTATAAAATGTTTAAAAAAAAAAAAATTTATGTGTAGAATACTTTATTTTTTGAATATGAGATTGAAAATAAAAATTTATAAAAAAGAGAATTTTGAAAGACTGAGACTAGAAAGGACCCAGGCAAGGGGTAGTGCGGAAGAAGGAGATAGTATTCAAATTAAAACAAGAACTTTGAAAATGATTGTTTATTGAAGATAAACTTTGAAGATAACAAAGAAAGATAAAATTACAAGAATTTCAAACTTTTTTGAGATACTAAAATAAAGCTTAGCTATTTTAGCTCTGTCTAAATCGTCAAAATGAAGTGTTATAAATAGCTGAAATTTCGGACTTGAAATTATATTGAATTAAAAAATAAGAATCTTGAACAGTTGATTGATTGAAGTTGTCTCCCATATGTTGTCTGACATCTGTCATTTGTTTGTCTTCTTTTGAAATTATTATCTTTCTTCCCGACTTTTTGAAAGATGCTTTATTAAAGTGGCTTTAATAAAGTTTATTGTCCTTTATATGTCGGAAAGGCTGGCAAAAATAATTTGTTAGCTGGCAAGCACACGTCGAAAAGCATTTCTTTTGATTTTTGAGCTTGATAATTTCTGAGATCATCGAGAAAATTGGGTCCATTTAATCATTTTGATTGAGAGTTTCTTTGAGTTTCTTCTTCAATAAGGTCATCAATATTATATTCAAAGCACATATCTTCATTACTTTGTTCATGATCTTTTGAATATGAAGAAGAATAGTTTGAAGTTGAGTTCTTTGAAGATGCCTCTACAAGAGCTGCAATTTTGTCCGAGACCATTTGAAGTTCTTCTAGTGTAGAACATTGATTGAACATTGCTAAAAGCCTATATTTTTCAGCAAGGAAATCAGCTTTCTTGTCTGATTCTTTTTTAGATAATTTTGGCATACCAAAATTCCTTTATTCTTGAATCCATGAATTAACTGTTTCAGGACAACAATTTGTTTCATGGAATTTTGAAACGTCTAACAATTCTTTTGAAGTTGTAATCTTTGTATTCTAGCGGAGTTTGACTTTGAATTAAGTGGAAATCCCAACAAAATATCCACGAAACTTTGAGATTGTGAGCAAATTGGAACAAAATGTATTCTTGAGGTTTTCAAAAGGTTTTCACCTCATTTTTGAAGTGTTCAAATCCCTGACAAGTAATACTAGGCAAAATTGTCTCGTCAAGAACAAAAAACTCGAACCAGTTTTGAAACCATTTTAGAAAGTTTGATGGGCAAGTTTGATGAAAAAGGACAAACCAGGAACGTACTGGTCTAAAGAAGAAAACATTGAACCACGTCTCTTTGTAGTCCAAATAATTGAATTTTGACTCGAATGAATCTGTTTTTGAAATGTTCATTCGCTTATCTTCCCAAGGGTGTAGTCCACATTCTTTGTAAGACCAAACCCTTTGAATAGAAATTTTTGAAAAATCAATATATTTTGAATTTTTATTGTTTGGGTGTGAGTAATAATGGAAAATCCTATTTTAATGAGGATTGCTTCATAATATTCACATGATTTTTTGATGTTTGAAGGGAGAAAACGGAATTTGTGGTGGTGGTGGTGGTGGTGGTGGTGGTGGGGGGGGGGTGATATTGAAGGTGTTCTTCAAGGGAAGAAGTTCTTTGAGCCCATGATGTTTCCATTTCGAACACAGGAAGATTTACGGGCTTTGTGAAGTGTGAAAATGATTTTGGAGGGTTAATATCTGATAATTTTCCTNGAAGAAGTTCTTTGAGCCCATGATGTTTCCATTTCGAAAAATGGAAGATGGAAGGGTTTTGTGAAGTATGAAAATGATTTTGGAGGGCTAATATCTGGTAATTTTCCAAAACCAATTTGAATGGCTTTGCGGTAATTTGATGGTTTATTTTCTGGAACTGTTTTAGTAAGTTTTTGGAATATTTTTGAAGCAAGTGTTGTATTTTGAGAACTAGAGGATGCTTCTTTTGATCTTTTAAAGGAATTTTGAATATAATCATCAATTGAAGTAAGGGGAATTTGAACTTTCTTTTTGTTCTTCTTCTTTCTGAATAACTCATTTTACTCATTTGTTGTGTAAGAATTTTCTCATAAGGAAATCTACAAAAAAGTTTGAAGAACCCTATATATATAGAATTTGAAAATTAAGGCAAGAAAGAATTGCTTGCCATCTTATAAAAATTTGTTTTGAAACAAGATTTTTTACATCTTTTTGCAAAACGTCTTTTGAAACTTTATAGTCAGTTTTGAGAATAAATTTTTAATTGAAAAGATCATCTTGAAATTTGGAAATCACAAGGACGATTGCGAGAATTTCCTTTTTTTATAGTGGAGTAGTTCTTTTGAGGACCAGTCCAAACACCGGAGTGAAATCTGACTAATTGTTTTTGGCTTGAATTTGAAGAATTTGTTTAAGGACACCACCATACCCAAGGTCTGACGCATCTGTCTCCACAATAATAGAGGCAGTAGGGTCAAAGATTGAAAGACATGGGACGATTTTTATTTTTTGGACTGCTAAGGTACACTCGTGACTTCAAGAGTCAGGTTGCTTTTACAGTCTTTTAAAAAGAGGGGTACATAA